GTATGAAAGATCTTAATTTTTCTAAGGTCAATAACAAAATTTCCATCAATTTTCCGTCATGAAATAGCTCAAATTATTTAAATATTTCCGATCATTTTATTATATGAAAATCTATTTTAAAGGCCAATAACAACTTTCCCATCACTTTTCCTTCATTAAATAGCTCAAATCATTTTTCACGTTGAACAGACCAATGTAGTGTGGATTGTTCATTAGTATGATCAAACATTTGAAACGAAGTCGTTTTACAAGATCTTATCTCCACAAAGATAGTTTCTAAAAGGTAAGGACAAGTTAACATACACTAGATAGATATACAAGAGAAAGAGTACATAACTGGAACCACAAGAGTTAACAGTTGAGAGTCAATGTCAAAACCAAACAGTGAACTCATCTCGTGACGTGCCTCGAGTCTTCTTCTGCACCCGAAATTCGCTTCTTCGTGTACCTGAATTGTTTCATGTTAGCAGTTGAAGCAGCAGAGTAGCTTCTCGGAGACCCACGAGTGAATAAGATCTTTGGTGCTGCATCTTCAACATCATCACATTATGATATACGTATGTGGTCTTCAACAAGCCAGCAATCTTCAGTACCAAACTCTCCTCCTCGCTCATATTCTGCTTCAGGTTTACAACTTACGTCATCTTTTTCCCCATATTCCGCGGATTGATGGGAAAGAGTTCTTTAGACAAGCCAGATAAGTAGATATTATAAAGCTAACAACTAGTAAATGAGAATGAATGATAAATTCAACATTTTTGAGTTTGTAGGAGCCGTTTGTCTTTCAAACAATTCAGCGCATTTCTAGCTAACATCAAGGAACTAAATGCGAAGAAGCAGAGCCGGGAGGTAATAACCCCATAACATATGTTATTACTCAACCACAAATGTTCACTCTGTTGTTGTATTTTTCTCGTATTTGAATCCAAAAACCATCTCATCTTCATGGACAGGAAACATTACGGAAAGCGGAAGAGATATTCGGGACAGAAAACAACCTTTAACTTGTTGGACCGTACACAACTTGAATAGGATCACTTGTTTCTTTTTCTTTTCATAATTACCATTTTAGTCATGAGTGAACCTCTTTAACTTGCTTCACTATGTAAAACAAAAACCAGAAAATTTTGTGAGGGTTTATAAGGGATTGTTGGAGGTAATAAGATAGATGTTGAAAAGGGATTTCTTTACGATGCTCACTTCCTTTGCCAAGAGTTTGTTGTATTTTTATTAAAAACATATGGAAAACCAAATAAATGATTACTATGTTTTCCAGCTTAGGATAATGCGTTTAAACTAGAATAAAATTACCTGATAGAATCAAATCATTATTATTTGAATCAGTGTTTTTTATACTTTGAAAATAAGATTTGAGTACTTTTATCGAACCAAATATATAACAATACTTGTTGACTTTTGTTGTGTTAAACTTATAATTTGACTGGAAATACTTGGAAATTTTTCATGTAACCGTATAAGAATCCAAGCTTGAATACAAATCGAATAAATTAAAGATGCATAAGTAATAGGTTTTCTTTTTCCGTCAAAAACAATTTTATTAAATTCAAATTGGAGTACAAAGTCATACACAACTTTTGGAATACAAATTATTACATAAGCAGATATATGCGCCATATTTTGAACACGATACAACAAAATAAGTAAATCGAACAATGCTTTCCGTAGATTGCCTTACTTGCAGATTAATAAATCCGTTATTTTCTTTTTTCGTATTCAATCTTACTCTAATGCGAAATATTTTTGTGGGTAGCATCTCTTGGCTGAACCTCCAAATTGCACATCTCATGATTAAACCTGATGCTTCCAACATAAATCCTGAAACTTCAACAATCTGATACCAATGCTTTCGTATCAGAGTCGTTATAACAAAAATTGACTTTGATGTCATCTCCTTTGAATTCAAACATCGCTTCCGGAGAATAGTTATAATTTCCTCTTTCTCGAACGAAATTTTGCGTTCCCATACACGGTGATTTTCATAAAAGTCTTTCTTCCATGGTGATTGCCAATGAGATTGTTTGCAATGCAAACAAACACTCTTTCTGAATAGAGAGAAGTCTCTATCGATGACGTGATTTTCCAATACCGCATATATAATTAGTTGGCTTGTAGAGATACGACGATGTTGTATGTAGAAGGAGATCCAAGGCGGTTTAGGAATTCGA